CTTTTTTTTTTAGATTAGAAACTGTCAGCTGTTACAAGGTAATTTTGGTTTTATCAGCTAAGTTGATAAAGTAAATTAGCCTCTCTAAAGAGTTTTAAAGCTGACGTTTCGAGCGTTAGCCTTTGATCATTCGCTCTGACTAAGGGTTAACGCTCGAAACGCCAGCCTAAAAACTCTTTAATAATTTGGATATATCAACAAAGTTGAAATGGTAAATTGGCCACCGTAACGATTACAAAAGCTGATGTTTCGAGCGTTAGCCCTTCGTCGGAGCAAATAGAGGAATTGTGGGTTGTGTGTGCTTTTAAAGGCAGAAAATGGAGCTACGTTATTGGTGGGAACATGGCAATGAGAAAAACACAAATAAATTAGTGGAATGAAAAGCACTCATTGATCCCTGTGAAATTTAGACTGCCGGTTAATATGTCATAAAAGCAATCAAATGCATTTTTCCAGGTTCCATACCAGTAACATGATAAAGCAACTTGGAATGTTGGAAGAACACTCAGAAGGCTTCTAAATCAGTCGCCTTTGGCTTGTGATTTATGAGCCATTTCCTTGTGTTCTCCCAACATTCTGTGTGGATTTGTCACATTTTAGAGACTAGAAAAATGAGTTCAGTGTTGCTTAATTAATTAACATGATTTGAATGCTTACACAGTTATTTTAGCTGACATATTGGTTGAACTTGGGGAGGAAGTGCCCAATGGTCTAGTCACAGGTACATATTTATTAAATGTCTTTTTTTTTTTGTAGAAAAAAATTAGATTTTTCGGTTTAGTTGACTTGATTTTTGATTATGTTTTTATGTATTTTTAGAAACATACAAATAATTATAAGTATGTATTTGAAAATTTTAAAACAACTCGTGAAACAAACAGAGATTTACTTAATCCTTTAGCTCATTAGACTGAGTGACCAGTACCTAATTCCTCCTTACAGTAAAATTGCATCATTAATAATTCACCAAGATTGTGAAATTATTTAAGAAGGGATCACCAACCTAAAAAGCTGTTATTGTTTAACAAGTTCTCCTTGTCAATACTAAGGGAAATGTATAGAGACAAGTTGGGAGAATGTAGGTACTGATATTAGGGTGAAATGGGTTGTATAGAGAAAAAACACTGTGTTAATGTTTTGTGGAATTTTTATGTACAGTACTTTCACCAGACCAAGCTGAGCTGTTGGTCATGGAACACAACATGACTCCTGTTCACTCAGATCTTGAAACAGAAACAAGGTGTGAAAAATGGTGGAAAATATGACACTTGATAGAAATGATAATAAATAATGTTATGGATGATAAGTTCCCTTAAAGTCAAGTTCATCATCTATTATGTGTTAAATATGCAAAGTGCAGTGCTGTGTATAGATTTCTGTTTCCGTTTCAATGTCAGTGAAACCATGTAGTTTTAAAATTAGTGTCTGCAATGACTGATAATTTGATATTTCTTTTATTATTTTGGCTTCATTTGAAAAAAAAAAACAGCTATTCTCTTGAACCAAGGCCACCAGTAGTGACAATTATGGGTCATGTTGACCACGGCAAAACCACTCTACTTGACACGTTAAGAAAAACATCATTAGTGGCTGGAGAAGCTGGGGGAATCACGCAACATATTGGTGCTTTCTCAGGTAAGAAAAAGAGACTAAGACATAAATGCATGTAGATGTAGAATTTCTCTCTGAGTGAGGGCAGCAAACAAATTAAATATCAACAATAAGAAAAGAAATACCATAACTAAAAGAAAGCGTCACTTTAATGATGAGGCATTGCAGGTTTGATGAATTAATATTTTTTTCACTTAATTTTAACCCTTTATCTCCCAGAAGTAAACTAGCATGTAACCTGTCCTTATAATATTCATATACGTACATTATCGAGCCAACAGCTAATGAAAATACCCAAACTTATCAGGTAGAAGTTGATATCTTGATGTGACACTGAATTCTCCCTGCTAATTTACAAGGAAATGTGCAGCAGCAAGAGGGGAGAATTAAAATCGGATCTGGGGAGTTAGAGTTAAAAGTCATTGATTGCTGGATACCCAGATTACTTTCCAAGATTGTCATGTGCACTTTTGTCCTTTTTTTTTTTAATTTTTTTTTTTGGACAACCTTTTCCAAAACAGCTGTAAACTCACAGTGCCTCCTTGAATGTAATCGTTTTATTTTCTGGTTTGATTTATATGAATAAGCATTTGCAAAAAGTATTTTTCTTTTTGCAGTTAGCGTTAAAGGAACAGACAAAACAATAACATTCATTGATACACCTGGTCATGCCGCATTTGAAACAATGCGAGCTAGAGGGGCTAATGTGACGGACATTGTTGTACTTGTTGTGGCAGCAGATGAAGGTGTGAAGCAGCAAACAGTTGAATCCATTAGACATGCCACCAGAGCAAACGGTATGCCATCAATATGTCTGTCAATCTTAATGAATGTGATTATGTGCATTTTCCTGTCAGATTTTACTCACAGGTAAAAATATTTCTACCCATAGTAGATTGAATCTTAATTCTTGATTGCTAATATTTCTTTCCTGCAGTACCAATAATTGTGGCACTTAACAAAATAGACAAGCCCAGAGTGAATGTGGTACGTTTCTTTTGTTTTTGTTTTTGTTTTTTGTCAAATTTTCAATTCTTTTAATGGCTGCAAATTAATGAAATAGTGCAGAAATTTAACTTACCAGTACATCCAGTGGTAATTGCAGCAGTCATAGCATAGTTATTCCACTCCCATAGTGGATTGTCAGGTCTGTTTAAATTTTCCAAAAAAAAAAAAATTTATACTGGCAAGCAAGTTCAGATTGCATTTACATTTTACTGATATGAGACAAATGAGTGGTTTCCTGTCTACATGGTAGCCCGGAAAGTTCTACAGACTAACCAAAGATTAAGAACAGAAAAACAGAACAATCAATCCCCAAGTACCTTTAAGTAGGTCACTCGATCAACATCAGCCTTACAGTAGAACATAGAATGTTACTTGTTAGGACAAGAAAGATTTGTGGAAAGTAATTTAGGATGCAGTGTGGCTGAGTGGTTAGGCCACAAGTAGACTTGTAATCTGGTGGTTCCACATTTCAACCCTCCATCTTCCTATTCACTGAATTTGTTCACAGTTGCCTGCCAAGTTCAACTCCTTGGTTGAGCTTTTTATATTTAGCCAACTGATCTGCCCCCCTATCAGTTGGGATTTTTAAACACTATTTATTTGCTATGTTTCCAATTTGTTTGTATTGGGTTGTAAAAGTCTCATTGGCAGAGTGGTCCAGTAAATTATCTTATTAGAGGTTTTATTGTGTAGTATCAGAGTATTTTTACCCTGTATTTTGACGAGCCTGAGGGACGAATCAAAATACAAACAACGAGTAAAAATACTCAGTGATACTACACAACAAAATGTCCAATTAGAGATTTATTATCCAACATGCCAAATTGTTATTTCAGTGTGGGCAAATTTAGCTGACATTTCTGATATTTGTACTCGTCTCACATGTTATTTGTACTCTACGAAGCACAATTGGATAATAAGATAGTGTACTTAACACGCATACACAGCACACCACAGGCAAAGGTGAACCATATTTTATCAGATATGATGGAGTCTTTGTGTTTTTGTTGAAATTATTAAATGCAGGAGCGAGTCAAGGAAGAGCTTCTTCAATATGGAATTCAACTGGAGGAGTTTGGAGGGGACATCCAGGCTGTAGCAGTGTCTGCCTTAACAGTACGAATAATTAGTCAGTCAAAAATGATTAAGAATTATTCTACAACTCATAAATGGTCAATTACAAAGATATAAGATAAAACTCATCTAAAGGGAGAAGTGCAAATGGAAGGATAATTTGCAACAAAGAAAGGAGGAAAGAGATCTAGCATCTAATTTCGTTACCAAATTATTACCTCTGCATCACAGATTTAGGTCACAAGAATAAAGGATGAATGCCAACTAAAGAGGATCTTGATTATTAAACAAATTTTCCTGCACAGCAGCTTAGGAAATGTATGAGAGAAGTTAGGAGAATTTGTATAGTGATGTAGACGTTGAAATGAACACCTAAAATTTTAATGATCCTCAATCCCAGTTTTTTGATAAACACTTAAGTAAGGAAAATATTTCTCCTATGTTGAAGGGAACCAATTTTGATGAGCTTTTGGAGGCAATCCACACTCTTGCAGAGTTGCAAGATCTAAAAGCCAATATAGACAGCCCTGTGGAAGCAATTGTTCTAGAGTCGCGCAAAGACAACAGAAGAGGGTATGTCTTCGTCGTTCTAAAGTACTTGCAGTGGTTACATTTTACCCTAATTGGCAATTCTCACCGGCAAGATACATATCTCTTATTAGATGTTTTGTTGTGTAGTATCGCTGAGTATTTTTACGAGTTGTGTTGTATTTTGACAAGCCCGTAGGGCGAGTCAAAATACAAATAACGAGTAAAAATACTCAGCAGTACTACACAACAAAACATCTAATAAGTTATTTATTATCCAACACGCCAAACTGTTGTTTCAGCGGGCAAATTTCGCGGATATTTATTTACAGGGAGTGCGTGACATAAGTATGCGAAGCGGAACGGAATTGGCGCACTGTTGTGCTGCTGTTTCTATATTATTCATTAAATGAAGAAATTTTCTGGTCATCAAGCTGTTTATCTTCATTCGATTCTTCTAACGAACTTGGATCTATATTTTCCAGCCATTCTGACTCTTCGTCGTCGGAAATATGATTCAAATTGCCCACCATTTGTTTTTTTTTTTCGTAACTACAATTCAATTCTTCGCTTGCGCGATGCGAGAAAACCTGTTTAACCAGTACTACAATGGATGAGTACAAATACCACGTGATATTTGTACTCGTCTATGGCATTATTGTATGGCGTTGTAATATTTTGTGTGTTGCACATGGTTTTCTGCACAGTCAGTTGATTATGGGTGATGAAAGTAGTCTAAGATTAATTTAAATATGATCATGGACAAATTTCATTTCAGCTCCAGTGCAACCATTCTTGTTAATAGTGGAACATTAAGGATAGGTGACATCCTGCTTTGTAATCAGGCATTTGCAAAGGTAAACTTTCATGCTAACTTGAGTTTGTTAAATCTTACTCAACATAAAACAAATTTGAATAAAGTGATTGAAAGGGTGTAGGAGATGAAATGCCTAACTAGGATCAAATGCCAAGAAAATTGAAATATTTTGTTTTCAGCACAATTTTTGGTCATCTTAAAGTATAAGGGTTTATTCGTGATACAGAAAATTTCTAGTGTGCAAGATACGTGTACTCCAGCCTGCAAAATTCCCTTGTTGTTAAGTGCTCCCTAACCAGCCATAGAAGTATAGGCTAGAAATAGTAACAGTTACTATTATTTATGACACGGCATCAGCGTTTGTTATTTTGGGCCTAAAGGTACGTCTCATGCTCAGTGACCATGGACAAGCTGTGACCGAGGCCACTCCCTCTACTCCAGTGGAGGTAGTAGGATGGAGGGACACTCCTTCAGCGGGAGATGAGGTCATCCAAGTTGAATCGGAGGTGAAATTCTACACTTTTATTAGTTAACTAAACTCTTTCATGCCCAATATCTCATTTATTAAGTAATTTTCCTCACCGTCTCAGTGTTCAATCCAGGCCGCGCTTTTGCGTCATTGATGCGGAATATTCTATTCTGATGCAAAATGAAATGATCTTGGCGTCATACTGATACCGAAAAAAAACAAAAAAAACCAACAAAAAAAAACAAAAAACAAGTAACCCCGTATATATTAAGTACTTTTAAAGCAGCAGGCAATAATAAAAGTAAATTAAAAGGACTAAGTATGTGTTGTTACTAGCCTAAAATCAGTGCGCGAAATGACTGGCATTTCATACTACGTGCGTAGGAGTACTTATTGTTACAGGCGTTCCATGCAATTTGGAGAGAGACTGGATCNCAGACCTGGAAAAGCAGTTGCACCAGTTGCTCCAGTTGCTCCTGTTTTACGTCCAGCTTCATAATCTTCAATTCTTAGCTCCTGGTAATTCAGAAGAAAGCCAGCAATAAACTCTTTATCAGTCGTGTGCAGTAATGCTCAGTATTTTTACGAGTTGTGCTGTATCTTGACCAGCCCTTAGGGCAAGTCAAAATACAAATAACAAGTAAAAATACTCAGCAGTACTACACAACAAAACATCTAATAAGTTATTTATTATCCAACACGCCAAACTGTTGTTTCAGCGGGCAAATTTCGCGGATATTTATTTACAGGGAGTGCGTGACATAAGTATGCGAAGCGGAACGGAATTGGCGCACTGTTGTGCTGCTGTTTCTATATTATTCATTAAATGAAGAAATTTTCTGGTCATCAAGCTGTTTATCTTCATTCGATTCTTCTAACGAACTTGGATCTATATTTTCCAGCCATTCTGACTCTTCGTCGTCGGAAATATGATTCAAATTGCCCACCATTTGTTTTTTTTTTTCGTAACTACAATTCAATTCTTCGCTTGCGCGATGCGAGAAAACCTGTTTAACCAGTACTACAATGGATGAGTACAAATACCACGTGATATTTGTACTCGTCTATGGCATTATTGTATGGCGTTGTAATATTTTGTGTGTTGCACATGGTTTTCTGCACAGTCAGTTGATTATGGGTGATGAAAGTAGTCTAAGATTAATTTAAATATGATCATGGACAAATTTCATTTCAGCTCCAGTGCAACCATTCTTGTTAATAGTGGAACATTAAGGATAGGTGACATCCTGCTTTGTAATCAGGCATTTGCAAAGGTAAACTTTCATGCTAACTTGAGTTTGTTAAATCTTACTCAACATAAAACAAATTTGAATAAAGTGATTGAAAGGGTGTAGGAGATGAAATGCCTAACTAGGATCAAATGCCAAGAAAATTGAAATATTTTGTTTTCAGCACAATTTTTGGTCATCTTAAAGTATAAGGGTTTATTCGTGATACAGAAAATTTCTAGTGTGCAAGATACGTGTACTCCAGCCTGCAAAATTCCCTTGTTGTTAAGTGCTCCCTAACCAGCCATAGAAGTATAGGCTAGAAATAGTAACAGTTACTATTATTTATGACACGGCATCAGCGTTTGTTATTTTGGGCCTAAAGGTACGTCTCATGCTCAGTGACCATGGACAAGCTGTGACCGAGGCCACTCCCTCTACTCCAGTGGAGGTAGTAGGATGGAGGGACACTCCTTCAGCGGGAGATGAGGTCATCCAAGTTGAATCGGAGGTGAAATTCTACACTTTTATTAGTTAACTAAACTCTTTCATGCCCAATATCTCATTTATTAAGTAATTTTCCTCACCGTCTCAGTGTTCAATCCAGGCCGCGCTTTTGCGTCATTGATGCGGAATATTCTATTCTGATGCAAAATGAAATGATCTTGGCGTCATACTGATACCGAAAAAAAACAAAAAAAACCAACAAAAAAAAACAAAAAACAAGTAACCCCGTATATATTAAGTACTTTTAAAGCAGCAGGCAATAATAAAAGTAAATTAAAAGGACTAAGTATGTGTTGTTACTAGCCTAAAATCAGTGCGCGAAATGACTGGCATTTCATACTACGTGCGTAGGAGTACTTATTGTTACAGGCGTTCCATGCAATTTGGAGAGAGACTGGATCCTACATTTCAACGTTCTGTATACATTCGTTGCTTTACTAATTGATTCACACTTCGTTTGTTGACTTTGTTTCCCGGGCTGTGAAAAGCATAAAAACTTTGATGTACCAGTTGGTAATAGTTTGGATGATGTCAGTTTTTCAAAGTTTCAATATCAGAGTTTGACCCAGACCATTTTTGAAATGACCCAATTTAAATTTTTGTGTGGGACATATGACCCACTTTGGCTAATTTCTAGATTGAACACTGCTGTCTGCTATACAATTCTTTTGGTCTTAGTCTGGAGAATTGGTATTAGATCAACCAATAAACCCCTAATTGACATCTTTCTTTTTTCTCATCACTTGTCTGCTTGATATTGTATCAATTTTGTTAGGAGAAAGTCTGTCTTGGTCACTTATAGGAGTTAAAGGATTGGTCAGTGATAATTTAACAGGTGGAGAGAGCAACAGACAAATTACTGGACTAAAGTAGTTTACTTCCACTCAGTATAAGGCCAGGGCTGGAAACAAATTGTTTTTGGCTAGTGGTTTTGATTTCCACAAGCCAGTTGTTTGGCTGGTCAACAAACTAAAATTGTCATAACATCTAAGTTGTCACTAGCCACTTGGCTAGTAAGTTGAAAAGTTAGTGTCGAGCCCTGTAAGACAACAATTTTTTATTAATTACTTCTTACTCTTTAAAATTTAAAAGACTATTTTAACTGTCTCAATGTAACATGCACCATGTTTATTTTCATAGCTGGAGCTACAATATAGAAACTGTGGAAATCACTCATTCAACATCACTATCCCAAAATATGTTTTTAGGAAGAAGCTAAGGATGCTGTAGAGAAAAGAAAGGCAATATTGCGGCAAAGAAAACTTCTTTCAGAAGATGTGCATAATACCCTACTGGATGTGGAGCTGACGTATGGAAGGGATCCAGCTCCCAAGCAACCTAACAGTAAATATGTTAGTAAAGACAAGTTAAACATCATCATTAAAGGTTTGTGCAGAATGATGTATATATCTTATTAACCAAACACAAGGGCCCTGGGAGAATATCCGCTGGAGGTCTTGACAGTATGGACCGAGCACAGCGAGGTCCGTACTAAAAAAGACCGAGGGCCGATATTCTTCCAGTACGATCCCGAGCAAGCTTGGTTAATAAGAGATTTATTATACGACTGAAGTTCAAAGGGATACAAGTGTGGTATCATTCGGGACAGTGCCCAGTCCAATACTGAGAGAATAATGACCGGCAATAGAGCATTCTGATTGGTTGATTTTAGTTATTGGCCCTCTGACTGCCCAAGTGGTGTAATAAATTTAATTATAATTCAAAGTTGTGGGCCTGTTAACCCTTAACACCCTTACATCACAAAGCTTTGCTTTAAGAAAAATTGAAGGGAGCCCCGTGCTCTGAAACTGTGAAATCCACGGTGCTCAGCATATGCTTTTTTCTGAAAAAACTAAGCTTCCTGAGTCACCCAATAGCAAAAGTAAGGCACCAGGGGCCACTGGGCGCTGCTAGACTACAGCCCTGCATCAGTATGTATATTCTCCATAACTTTTTCTTTACATATCCTAAGGCACTGTCATGGAGAATTTTGTTAAAAATCAAGGGTAAACAATTCAGATCCACTAAAAAATGATTTAATTGAACTCTTTATAAATCAGAGATCTAGCTAATCTGCACTATGTCTTTCATTGTTGAGATGCGAATTGATGTAACTGATCATGACATATGAATACATGGGGGAAGTTTCTAAAGAAACTGTGGTGCTGTGTGGGTGGGCGAGTATAACAAAAGTAATTTTGGTTTTATCAACTGAGTTGATAATGTTAATTGGTCACTGTAAAGAATTTCAAAGCTAAAGTTTTGAGCAAAAGCCCTTTGTCAGAGTGAAGGGCTATCCCTCTGACAAAGGACTAATTCTCGAAAGGTTCAGCTTTGAAACTCTTTATGGTGGCCAATTTACATTTAACTCTGCTAGTTGATAAAACCAAAATTACCTGATCCTGACTTACATGTTAATTAACACACATAGGAGAGATCACTCAACACGGTGAGAAAATACTGTCATATTAGTAGGTCTATAATGTCCCTATCCTCAAACTGGTGCTGTGAAATACAGCACAATCAACCGTTGGTAACCGGTCTGGTTGCAGTACCAAGTACTTTTGCTACCAGTCTATTCACTACCAACCACAGTCTTATCGCCACCATGATGAAGTCCAATCACTACCTCTGGAAATAATTTCCTGTGGTAGCGATCTGACTTTGTCATGGTAGCAATCAGACTGTGGTTGGTAGCAATTTGACCAGTAGCAAAAGTATTTGATAGCGACCCGACCATAATTCTCATGGTCACTGTGATAAAGAGGGGGTTCATAGACTGATTCCTATTGGAACAATATCCATTTTGGTTGGCTTCTCAATTGACTGAGTGCAAAGCTGTTGTGGTCAAATTTGAATGTGGTTGGTTTGTCAACTTAACTTCAATCCTTGCAAAACAGGTGATGTTGATGGTTCCTTAGAAGCCATAAGTGATGCACTAAAAACATACAAATCAAAGTTGGTGAAGTTGACAGTTCTGTCCAGCCAAGTGGGAATTGTCACTGAAAGTGACATCAAGCTTGCAGAGACTTTTGATGGTAAGAAGACTGAAATCTGTTTTCCTTTCTTTCCCTTTTTTTTTTTTTTTTTTCTGAATTTAAACAAAACTGTAAATTTTCATTCTCGCTGTTGTATTCAAAATGTTTATCCTGTCAAACATATTGTCATGATGAGTGCAGTTCACAGAGCATTTAAAACCTTTCATGCTTATTATGTGACAGGTAGATTGAGCATGTTGTGCTGAGAATTGTTTGATTCAAAACTTAAAGCCTATACAAGACAACTTGGCGATTTTTATATTACATGTAGTGTTTATCTAGCAAAATAAGCAGTAATCAAGCCTGTAGGAAGGTGACATTAAGCGTGTGCAAATATTGACATGTGCAAGTTGGTTCATTATGTGTAAGATTAGGTTCATTTACGTGTGCGAGTTGGTCAGTGGGCAAGTTAGCCCATGCATCCTGGATTGTCAAAATTGTTGCAGTTGTTGTAGTTGTTACCATCATCATCATCATTAGTGTGGCCACATGTATCTTTCCACTCCTCCTCATTCCAAATACATCAGCTATGAAGCAGATCCTTTCTCCCATTCCAGTTCTTGAAAAAATATCAATGTACAACACTGCATACTATATCTTGCAGAAAATGATATAATTCAGATGAACTTACCCTCCAAGCAACAGTAATTTACACCCAGCATAAAATGCCAGAAAGTAATTTTAGTAATTTTAGCCTGATAATGACTACTTTTTTTTTGTATGTATGGATGTTTATTACAGGTATAATTTTGGGCTTCAATGTGAAGATTACAAAGCAGATATTGTCTTTAGCAAGACAGCGCGGTGTAGATGTGAAACAGCACAGAATAATTTACAAGCTGCTGGAAGATCTTAAGGTATTATTATCTCATTAATATTTTCAGAGTAATAATTTTCTAACCAAATTATTACTCTGAAAAGGTTAATATTATACGAAATTGTTACATCTGTCTTTTTCTTAGTCTCTCTTGCTGTTTTCTGGGTCCTCACACCATGCTTTCCTCCCCTTAAACTGGAAAGCTTTGTGCAAGGACACAGAAAACAGCTGCAAGGGTGACTACTATTTTCAACCAGGTTTATTGACCTGAACTACCACAGTCCTCCTCCTCTTTTTCAGTCCACCACTATAACTGCACTGTTTATTATTTTGCTCTATTTTACTAACTTAATGACGGGAACAAGCTACTTGCAGCACATGTCAACTGCTCATAAAAAATGATTAATGTAACTGGAATCACCTGTATCAAAAAAAAAAAAGAAACAATCATTACAATTTTAATCGATAACACATGAAGAAGGTCATGTTATCCTTATTAGAACCCACATATTTTCTCTGCTGTGACAGAGGTGACTATTTTTGTACCATTTTTTCTCTTAAAAATTTACTGGGTCATAATTATAATATTATAATTGTCTTACATTGCACTTGCAGGCTGAACTAAATAAGAGAGTCTCCCCTATTCAAGAAGAAAGTGTTACTGGAGAGGCGGCAGTTCTTAAAGTGTTCAAACTAACTGGTCGACGGAAGGCTACAGTAGCTGGCTGTCAGGTCAAGACTGGGACGCTTGATCGCAAAAGTTTATACAGAATAACAAGGAATAACCAAGTTGTCTTTGAAGGTGATGTCTTGATGTTATACAATTTGGGTTAATAAAAATAATCTTGTTTTTGGTGTATTTGTCAGTATTATGAGAAAACTGGAAAGGCTCTGGTCTCAAACATTTTTTCATCCAGTATACTTCTTGAGTCCCATCTACAATTTTCAATACTGTTTCTCCCTTAAATGCTTAAGACTTAATAGATGCAATGGTATCTCATGAAACATTGTATTCCTGCTTCTAAATAATAAATGTAACTTTGGCTCTTTGTTGGTGTAGATGACAAAGTTGATGAATAAACAATGAGTCGAGACAAATAGACAAAGGAGTGATGAAAACAATGAAAACAATTGGCTTAGGAGGTGGTGTTCTATTGTTTTTCTTCTGCATAAAGGAGCTGTAATTTTCTCTTGCCATTTCAAAACTTTAAGTTTTTCAAGAAGTAACTGGAATTTTTTTTTTTTAATTCGATTATTTCCTTTTTAGAACTATTGAAAAAGACATCCAAAAGTGAGAATCAAAGTTGTTGGCTGTGTCTTGGTATCTAAATGTTTCTAAACTGATTTTTTTTTTCTTCACCAGGACAACTGGCCACCATGAAGCGTGGTGTTGACGATATAAGCCAAGCTAAAAGGGAAACAGAGTGTGGCTTGTCATTCGAGAAGTTCACAGAAATTCAGGAAGGAGATGTAGTTCAATGTTACACTGTGAATGTCATTAAGCCAGAAATTGACTGGGATTGGGGTTTCTGAATACAACAAAAAAAAAATCTCACCATGTAAAATACTTGTATGTTCTTTTAGGCTTTTAATTATGGGTGGATTTAACTTGTAATAGGTGGCTACATGTAGATTCAAATTTTACTGAAAATGTGTTAAACAAATCATAAACAACCATCGCGCTGGATGAATCTTGATTTGTAAACAAAATGGAAAAAAGTTCGGGAAACTGAATCAATCAAGAGAAAGAAAGCATGGAAACTTTGTATTTATTATGCAAGCATAAATTTGTCCTCTCCTAAACAATTTTAATAAAAAAATTTTATCACGCTGAAAATTGTACAGTTATCTTTCCCATGTTTCTATCCAACACAAGTACTATTACATAACTGTTACTTCAAATTCTTAAATCAGGGTAATACCCTCAGATATTTATTATTATCTTGTGGTATTGTTCATTTTTCTTACCCCCTTTTCAATGTTTTGTTATTTGCAAAAACCATGAGACCAAAGTGTCATCTTAGACAACAGACCTGTTACTTGTCATAAAATTGCAAAGTGGATTTGTTCTGGGGGATTTGGGCAGAATAGTTGGTCTCTTGTACCCAGACACATCAGTGTTTCATTAGCATCTACTGGAGAAAAATTAATAGGTCAAGGACTTTCCAATTTTCTCTTTGTTGCTCTTCTTGGATCTTCATGTATATACAGGAAATGAAATTGTGCAAAGATGCAATGATTTCATGGGGTTTATTGCTACTCTTTGTAATTGTGGGAGAGAAAAAATTCCAAGTCAGTCTTTGTCATTCTGTGGTGTTTATGTATCGGACCAAACCAATTAGAGATCATTGTGTTTGGTGTGTTTCAAGAAATGGTTGAACATAACAAGATACCACCTGTTGTAAGTCTCTTAAAATGTTACTTGTTTCAAGCTAGCTCACCAATTTGATTCAAATTACTGAACATATTTCTTAAAACTCAAACAGCCACAAAATTTGAAATTGAAGTCACATTTAATTTTTTCACAACCTGTAAAATTACATTTACCAACATCAACACAAATTGTTCCCAAGTACTATTGCCTTCCACCCAAACTTTCAGTTTGATGTATTATATCTTCAGACAAACTAACTAAAGTTAACTGTCTCAGATAGAAACAGGCTACATATCATAATGGTCTATCAGTGTTGACCATGGTAATAACCAAGACTTCAAGAGGTGACCTTAGTTTTGACTTAATAAATCAAACTGATCTGTTAAATATTCATGTTACTCACAAAGTTTTTAAATTGTGAACTTCAAGGAAACTGCCAAAATGTAAGTTAGAGGAACCGAATAGGAAAATTGTCTTTTCAAATCATCAACTTATTATAAATAATTCCATATACAGCTACTTCCAAATAATGGTTAAACTTGACTAAACACAACAATCAAATAATTTAAAAGCATACATCAATGTTTTAAATAATTTCAAGACCACTAACTCATCTATTGGTCACATGTGTCAATGTGATAAAGACTACTTAAATATGATAAAAATGTTCTCAATCTGACTGGATTTAATTTATTATACTACAAAAACAACATAAATAATGAACTAGACCAGTTTTTAAGAGAATACACAGGCTTACCCCCCTACATAACAGTTCAAAATAAGGTAACTATATATTAAAAGATATAAATAAGTAATCCCATTTCTCTCTATGCAAAGGCAAAGGATGCTTGTATGTGTGGCACATGGTGGGTTTCTACATGTAATTATTATCTAACTGTGCTTCATAGAGTACAAATAACAAGCAAAACGAGTACAAACATCACATGTACTCCACAAATATCTGCAAAATTCAACTGCACTGAAATAACAATTTGGCAAGTTAGATAATAAATCTCTTATTTTAGACATGTAGTATCACTGAGTATACTGTTGTTATCTCATTGTTTGTATTTTCATGTCATCAAAATATGGTACAACTTGCAAGAATACTCAGCAATACTGCACAACAAAACATCTAATAAGATATATTCTCTTACAACTGCAGAGATTGTATCCCCTTGTGAGTAAGTTGAGTAAATTTGATTTTGAGTCAAAATAGAAACCTCTAGCCAAGTTAATCCTTCAAAAGCTAAGAGTGACCAGCATTTAATTTCTCCTAACAGTAATGCTACTGAATCATTCACTAAGATTA